CCCCCCCCCCCCCCCCCCCCCCTGTACCATTTTTCAAAGATCGATTACGCCACGACGAAGAGGATGCATAAATGAAACAATACATTTTCGGAAAGCGCTCGACGAGACAGCTTGAACACCACCGTTTCCAGCGCGGTGACTCTGTTGATAAGAAATCGAGATTTGAAAATCGGTTCCAGGGGGTGTATTATCTTGTGTCATTTACGCCTAGAGTTGGGTATTCGTCATAGCCAACCAAGCCGCTCGATAATCGGGGTCCGTATAAGTCCAGGCTTGGACTCAACGGGGGCTAAAGTAATATGCACGGGCGAAAAGACAGCAGAAATGTCCAAAACGTCGATCGACGAAGTACTAATTTTGGTTGTACACAGTAGTAGCACATTCCACAAGCACCAGCTTGTAGTGGATCCTTCGTTATATTATTTTTTCTCGCACAAGAGCAGAAAAAGTCATCTCTTCCACATAAAAACGAGTCTGTGCGATAGAATAGGACACTGCTGTGAACACTGTGTTTCCTCAATCAGCATCCCGGTTATTTGGTTTCGTGTCAGAAAAAAAAAAAACATTGGGGGAGTAGACAGCAGGGGGATACAGCAGTAATATCAACATGTTACATAGGCGGCGGTGTGTAAGAGGTCCACACTCATTTACATCATCTTGCGGGCGTATCTGGGCTAGGAGTTGATATCATGCTGTGCAACACCCCCCGACCCGACGGAGTTGGCGTGATCCCTCGCGCCCGGGTGTAACATGAAACATGAACACGATCCCACAGAGTTGATCAAGGGCAGAGAATGCTATGCATACGAAACTGCTGCCGTTTGGGCCGCAACTTCAAGTTCGCATGCAGCATAACCAACGCAGCGAGCACTCACATACGGTTGCACTTCCGCTCATGGGAACCATGTCCGCCGCCTTCGCAGGGGGCACTCCTTGCGTCAATATATAACCAGCGCCGGCCACAACGATCGCCGCTGCTACTTCCTTAGGCACGCACATCGTCGGCGCGATCGAGCCCACTCGCGGGGATGACGCAACCAGCGGCGTCCGGTGTTGTACAACAAAGCCTTGCGCGCCGAGCGGCGCCGCCAGTGGAGCAAGGAATAGGTTAACCAGGCGCATGGCGGCTGCTGTGTACGTGTGTTGTTACTGTTGAAGTGCGTATGTCTGGCCTGTGTGGCGTGATGGGAGCTGGGAAGGCACAACACAAAAATACAAGGGGGTCACGCAGCCCGCAGCGGGGGAAGCGGGTGGATGCAAATGGATACCAAAAATAATAAGGTATCCCGTTGGGTGGGTGCGAAGGATGCGCGCGATCTCAACAGCGGTGAAAGGTAAACTACGCGGGGTGCAGCAAGCACGTTCTGGACGTTGCTTTGGGGCACTGGGTAGTCGGCCGTGTTAGGCCGAGAGAGAGAGGTTGAGAGAGAGTTGGAGAGAGAGTGGGAGACGGAAACTTGATTGGAGAGAGACGGTGGTGGTGGTGGAGCGAGAGGGAAGAAGAGGAAGTAAGTGCGCAGCACGCACACACAGTGTTATTTGGTTTATATATTTTTTTTTTTTTTATTGGTCCTTGCTCCGTCAGTACGAGACGCCCACCGCGCGGTTGGTGTCGCAGAAGAGACGATCCGCTAGAAGGTGCACTGCTGAAGG